AGTAGAATCAGAATGCTGAGGATGGAGGGACGCCTGGGTGGCTCAGTGGCTGAGCATCCACCTGCCTTTGGCTCAGGTCGTGATCCCAGGGTCCTGGGATCGAGTCCCACATACGGTTCCCCACAGGGAGCCTGCTTCTCCCTTTCCCTCTGTGTCTCTCACGAATAAATAAATAAAATCTTTAAAACAAAAAATGCTGAGGATGGAGAGAATCTACAAAGGAGAGAAAAACATCCAAAGGTCCCTTCTGGGGGAAAATAAGCACTTCCTGCAACCTCTGTCACTTGCAGACACTCATCATATGTGGCCCCTCATCGCAACTCCAGCCAACGGGTATTGACGTCAGTCAAAGTTGGCCGCATATTAGAAGTACGTGCACACACTGCTCACTCAGGTTTTCAGCAGAGGCATCTTCTTTGCCATTACGGAGACAACAAAGAGAAACTCAACAGGACTGGGGACATGGACTGATTGAGGAGGGAGCAGGGACGAAGGCAGTTCCCCGTCACCACCTGAGGATCTGCCCTGCCCACCCCCCAGCCTGGGCAGGACCACCAGCCACACTCTCCCCATGAGACATCTCAGAGGGAATCAGAGACCCGCTACCTTCCCTCCCCCTTCCCCAGTCCTTGGGCAGCCTCCTCAAGATGTCACATCCCCAAGAGAGGGGAGGGAGGGGGTTGGGAGCACACACGTCTCCCAGTGAGACTGCCAAGATGGAAAGCAAGCTGAAAAAAGCAAGTAGCAACAACACAGACAGTATGTTACCATGTGTTTTTCAGAAAACACAAAACAAAATTACATTTCCAGATGTACACAGATATATATGTAAAAGCATAGAGGAATCCAGCTCCTGGATGATAGGGAGACCATGAGGCGGACCACGTACAGTAGGGCGGTGGGACGCTGCACAGGTACTAGAACGACTGGAGCAAAAAAGTCACTTCAAATGTAAAGACACCACACAAGAGATCACACACACGGGTTCCAATGGTGTGAAAAACGAATGGCCTGTGTGCACACAGGAGGAAGGAGCTCAAAATGAGGTGGCCCGGATTGCTCCATAGAGGATTTAAAACACGCTCTCGCTCTCAAGCAACACAAGCAAATGGGAAAGTGTTTACATTTCAGTATTTAAAGACACAGCGTAGTTCATTTTCTTAAAGGCAAGAGAAAAAATCTGGAAGGTTGCCCCCCTGAATGGGTAACAGTGGTTGGTCTGGGGACAGGACAGAAAGATCCAAGTGTCTTAGTCCATCTGGGGTTGCTATAAAAAATTACTGTAAGAGGCGCCTGGCTGGCTCAGTCGGTGGAGTGTGTGACTCTTGATCTCGGGGTTGTGGGTTTGAGCCCCAGGTTGCATGTAGAGAGTACTCAAAAAAATAAAATCTATTAAAAAATTATTATAGACCGAGTGGCTTATATACAACAGAAATGTGTTTACCTCACAGTTCTGGAAGCTAAAAGTCCAACATTGAAGTGCTGGCAAAATTGGTGTCTGGCTTCTTGTTCATAGACAGCACTTGTGTGTCACCGTGTGTCCTCACATAGCAGGAAGAACAGGGAGCTCTTGGGGACCTCTATATAAGGGCCCTAATATCATACGGGCACCACGCCCGAGATCTGATCACCTCCAGAAGGCCCTACCTCGAAATACCATCACACTGGGGGTTAGGATTTCACGATATAAATTTGAAGGGGACACACTCTATAGCAGGAAGGGACTTTCACATATTTTTTTTAAGTTTTTATGATGCGATTTTTTTTTTGTGTTGTATTGTTGTGACACTAATATGTTTAAAAAGAAAGGAGGCCTTGGGGACACGCATCCTAGCATCCTTCCCAACCCTACCCTTCTACCCACCAGAAGAAAATCACTGCTTTAAACTCAACGTAAAGACCACCTACCTCCTGCCATCCTTAACTTCATATAGAAGCGACACTGCAAAGGTCAAAAAAATGTCAGTGTTTCCAAAAAGCTGTTTAATATCCACTCTGTCTCTCCCTAGGGTCTCTGATGGGGAACCCTGGGCTCAGGCTGGCCCCAGTCGCATTCCCCATCAACCCCCTCTTGCCAGCACTCTTCCCAAGGTCTGTGCCGACACCCCCTCCACCTCTTTCCCTCTCCCATTAAGATACCATTTTGCAAAATCTCCATAAATCCCCATAAGCTCATTTCCCATTAACAGTTACTGGCTGAGCCTTCCCTACTTTATTCCCAGATTTAAAAAAAATGAAAACAAATACCCGGTTCAGAGAGAGATTTGATGTATCTGAAGTTAACAAAGCCACAATGGGTTCAACCTGACAGGCCGTTATGAGTAAAACCCTTTTCATGAGCAGTGTTTTGCTTTGGCTCCCAAAGGGAGACAGATAAATCTGAAAAGCTGAACCAACAGAAATAGAGTTGGGAGACCAGAGGTGGTTGTTAACCATCTCCTTGCCACAAACCCGAGAGTCTGGGTTCTCAAACCAGCTTCTAGCTACCTTCCCTGTGCGTGCTCCATCAGTGCCAGATGACCACATGGACTCAAGATCAAAACCTATTAACTCACGCTCTGTGAAGCATCTTCCATGGATCCAAGCTGCTGCCCCTTCTGGGTTTGGAAAGCAGGTTAAAGAGTGAAACCTAGGGGAGCCTCATGCTGTCTCAGAGCAATGGTGGCCTGAGTCTGCAAGCACCACTCACAACAGCAACATCTGTATTCAGTGACTGTAGCAATTATAAATAATTCTGTTTATAGACCTTGCAGCACAAATTTTCCTTCTCACCTAAACAGCAAGAATTAATTTCTTTTAAAACGTCCTAGAACAGATGCTTACTGTCAGGCTGATCTTTCTGCCAATTAGCAAGTGTCTGGGCATTAGTGGTTATTATATCCTTTCTCAAGCCCCTTTGAATTCTCTCCCTGGATGCTCAGCCGCCACTCCCAAGCCATTCCGAATCTTCTGTACAGTTTGTCCATGACTTTCCCCCTGGGATCTTCTCCATATTCAAAGCATATATTAGAACAAACACCAAGCAAAAGGTTAAAACAATGATGCTGCACAGTACAAATTGGCCAATGACTATTTACTCTGCCCAGAGAAAGTCCTCACATTCAGACAGCTGATCCAATATACCTGCCCCCGTCCCTGCCCCAGTGAGCAGTGACTCATCATGAGTCCAAAGAACCCTTCACATTGGGCAGCCCTGGTGGCGCAAGTGGTTTAGCACTGCCTTCAGCCCAGGGTGTGATCCTGGAGACCCAGGATCGAGTCCCACGTCAGGCTCCCTGCATGGAGCCTGTTTCCCCCTTTGCCTGTGTCTCTGCCTCTCTCTCTCTCTCTCTCTCTCTCTCTCTCTCTCTCTGTGTGTGTGTGTGTATGTGTCTCATGAATAAATAAATAAAATCTTAAAAAAAAAAAGAACCCTTCACAAGACACAGTCTTAGAAACCCAATTGGGCCCAGGTAGGAAGGACAGAAAGAGACCCAGTAGAAGCCGTGCAGAGCCACTGAGCCAGCCCTGGTCTGCTGTTCTGAGAGTTAAGGCCATTGGCTGCAAGATCTTCCTGCCATGGCAAGCATAATACATCCCAACAGCAAGTTCACACATTACCAGGGTGGATCTAAGAGCACAATATGGCAGCCCACACGGAGGACCTCTTAAAGTTCTTATCATGCAGATATAATCAACAGCAAGGAAGCCAATGACACTGACATTCAAGGTTGTGGTGAAAAAAATGACACATGGTCTTTCCCCCAAGACAGTGCCCTGACTCTCCATCCAACCATCACATCCATCTGTCTGGTCCAGAGGCTGGTCCTTCTGTGACATGAGGAATCAGTTTCTCATCGGCCCCAAGGACAAGTTCCCAAGAACCCTTCCTTCTCTTTCTCTGATCAGGAATTCACAGCAGGAAAGAAGGCAGGGAAGAGAATGTCAGACTACCTCCTGGGCTAGATGTCCTGCTGACTCCAGTGAGCCTGACCTGATCCTAGCTCATCACAATCCAACAGAAGGAATGACCTTCAACCCCATTCTCCCTTATAGGGTCCTTATCGTGCCTCCTCCCTTTCTGGGTGAGCAGAGTATTCAACCACCAGCTCAGATCTCACGGAGGACTTCTGCCTACCTCTAGGGCTGGTTGGGACAGAGCATCTGGTAAGGCTGTGTGTCCCCATACTGGATTCTCATGGACATCGACCCTTCTCTACTGACAGAAGCATATGCAGCCTACCTGATTTTAACCAATGGCACTCAGTTAGGATCTCATTGCTTGGCCTCGGGTCTTTCTGTTCAGTGCTCACAGCCAGATTTCAGGCTGTGGTTTGTACCATGCTTCCATATGAGCGAGTATGTGCTCAGTCCCCAAACCTAACCCACCAGCCTCATTTCAGCAGAGAAGCCTAAAAACCCTGGCTCACCCCCAATTCTGGTGCCTTTTAGATTTTTAAAATTTTCACTTTGCAGCCCTCAAAGGGAGTTATCCTCAGGCTATAGGAAGAAAAACTGGAGTTAAGGAGCATACAACCAGCCAGGAACAGGAATGAACTCAAACTCAGAACTTTGCTACCCAGCGTCCCCACCTCATCCTCCTGTTCATAAGCCCTTGTCAATGTGACGCTTTGTCAATGGTCTTATGCCATAGTTGGGTGTGCCATCATCTCCCTAATGACAGTGCATGCTCCTTAAGGGTCAAGACCATGATCGTAATCACTCACTTCTCCCGGTTGCTAGGTCCGCTCATAGATATAGTGCCACACGGTACAACGTCAGCTGCACTCTATATTTATAATGAAACCTGACATTTAAAATCTGAACTTACCAAAATGTAACTAAGGGGATGATTAGTCATATTACCGAGAGCTTATTTTCTTTTAGGAAAAAAAAAAGTCACAATTCAAGGCAAAATTCTAGATGAAAGTCCTAAATGGGTTGAAATATCTATTTCGATATCACTGGCTACTCAACAGAGACGTGACATAGGTATGTCAAGTTTGAAGAATGGTACTCACCAGGTGAGGCATCAAGAGATCAGCCAGGTAGACAAAAGCAGCTCCAAGGGTGAAGCCAACGGCCACAGGGAAGAAGGCAAAGGCACCAAAGCCCCCAGAGGACGTGGCCATCTCCACAGCTGGAGCCAGGAGAGACCAATAGGAGGCTGCCAGCATGACCTGCAAAAAACACAATGAACGAGCCATTAAACCAACCACAACCACACAAGGCCTCCCAAGTACAGACGTCAGTGCTCTCTACAGCCCAAAGCAAACCCTATACATATATAGGCCTTTCATCTTCAATGGTAGGTGCTCTTTCAAACCAAAAATCTACCACCAGAATGCCTGGAACTAATGCCATAGGACCTCAATATGGCATGGGATGGAGGTGACCTTGGGAGGATGAAGTCCAGTTTCCTGTCATCCAGCCTGCAACTCAGTGGTTCTCCACTGTGGGCAACTGTACCCTGCAGGGGACATTTGGCAATGTGTGGAGATGTTTTTGGTTGTCACAGCATATGTGTCGCACTTATATCCAGGGCCCTTCAATTTTTACCTGTTAGCTCTAGGTCTGCATTCTGGGGCACCAAAGAAGGTATCTTTCCTCTAGGATATGTGGCAGCCTTTGAAATATTTGAAGACAACTGCTGATCAATGTCAGTAGCTTGGTCTTGCAACTTTGTGATCTCCAAAAGGAAAGAAGGGAGCTAGTATTTATTGATCACTTGCTATTTTCGGGGAAAGAGATCTTTGATGCCTTCTTTTACCATTGCCACAGCCCCAGGAGTCAGACGCTGTTTTCTGTTGCTATCGGTAGATAAAGAAATTGAATCTAGACGTAATAAGATAGTTTGCAGGAGGGCACATCACCAATAAGCAGCAGATCCAGGGACCTGAGCAAGCAGGACCATAATCCCCTCAATAAGCGCAGAACCATGAAAGGGAAGAGAAACATGAAGCACTGAACACAAATCTCAATGCGGTCAATTGGATAAAACTTCTCCAGTGTTTACTGCATTAAACACTCATCCATGGCCATTTACTCTTATAGCTGTTGTGACATCTCCTTGGTAAGAGTACACCCACTACCCATCGTAACCATATGACACTCATCACTGACATGAAAATGTTGAATGGGTTTCTAAAAATGATTTCATTATGCCTTGCCTTAAAAAAAAAAAAAAAAAAAAAACCTGCATCACCCATCTCCAAAATAACACTTGGAGTGACAGAACCAGGTATTACAAAAGCAACAATAAAGAATAAACCCATGCAGAAAGTAATTTCCCTTCTGCCAACCATCATCTACACACAGTCACTTGCTCTGGGCCCAATTCTCCCAGAAAAAGTCTTAGTACCACCCACAGAAAAATTGTATCTGCCTCTGAAACTCCCAGAGAGAAAGAAAATATCTCATCATTTCAGCTCCATGAGACCACCCAAGGAAGCTTGTGGGCTCCTTCCCTGTGCCCCAGCCTAACCTATCTCTTTCCCAGACTGTTGTCTCACTGGCTTTAGAGTTCAACAGCTTGGGTAGCTGCCGTTCATGGTAAACTCTGCAGCAAGGCGGACCTGCACATACCTGTCCAGCTACCTCTCTGCACATTCCAGGACCTTCCATACAGCCCCACCATCAGCAACTCTAAGGCCACACCATCCAGGAAGGCCACTCATTGATTGCATCCTCCTATCCCTCCCTGCCTCCCATCCTTGTTGATGCCATGGGGGGGGGCCAATTCATCAGCCATGGTTCCCCATTCACCTCTTCCACACAAACTTGAATCTCTTCTGCCCAAGTCCCTTTCCATCCTTCTGCATCCCTGGAGGCCAACTTCTTCCTTGCCCTTACAGATGAGAAATGCAAAATATTCCCATGAACAAGTGACACAATGTAGAGAAGAGATGCACCTCTCAAGGGAGGGGTCCCAGGATGCTGTGATGCTTGAAACAGAAAAGCATGCTGGATGATTCAGGTGGACCCCGCCTCAAGAATCACCATTCTTTATCTTTCCAGGGAAATCCAGGAACCAACTGGATTTCCTTCATTTCTTTTCCTTTTTTATAAATTTATTTTTTATTGGTGTTCAATTTGCCAACGTATAGAATAACACCCAGTGCTCATCCCGTCAAGTGCCCACCTCAGTGCCCATCACCCAGTCACCCCCACCCCCCACCCACCTCCCCTTCCACCACCCCTAGTTCGTTTCCCAGAGTTAGGAGTCTTTCATGTTCTTCATTTCTTTTCCTCACCAGACTCCCCATCTCCCACATACATTGGAAAAATGACCAAAGAACAATCGTGAAATAGAATTGGGTCGCCTGTCCAAAGCAACAATGGGGAACAAAAAAAAAAAAAAAGCTATTTAAAAGGCATTATGTGGTAGACAAAATAATGACCTTCCCCCAAAGACGGCTACGCCCTAATCCCCAGAACCTGAAAATATGTCCCCTTATGTGGCAAAAGTGACTCTGCAGCTGTGATTAAGTTAAGGATTTGAGATGGGAAGGTTATCCTGGGTGATCTGAGCGGAACCAATGTAACCCCAGGATTCGTATGAGAAGACAAGAAGAGTCAGAGTCAGAGAGAAGATGTGATGACAAGAGCAGAGGTCACAGTAGGTAAGGAACTGGAAGATGAAAGATGCTGCCGGGCTGGCTTAAAGATGAAGAAAAGGTCATGAACCAAGAAATGCAGGTGACCTCCAGAAAGCAGAAAGAGCAAGGAAACAGATTGTCCCCTAGAGCCTCCAGAAGGAATGCAGCCCGGCCAACATCTCGACTATAATCCAGATAAAACTATTTTGGATTTCTGAACTCCAGTACTTTCGGGTAGCATATGCGTGTCATTTTGAGCTGCTACATTTGTGGTGTTTTCTTGCAGTGGCAACAAGAAACTAATATAGCATTTGAAGGCATGTGCTACATGTATTTTTTTTTTGAGAGCAGTTATAGGTTCACAGCAAAATAGAGCAGAAAAAATAGAGAAGTCCCCTGCCCCACACACGCACAAACTCCCAGGATGGGCATCCCACACCGCAGTGGCATATTTGTGACAATATACTGATAGACCATTATCATCTGAAGTTCATAGCTTACATTAGAGATCAAACCCACATCCTATGGGTTTGTATAAATACTTAAAGACAGGCATCCACCATTACAGTATCCTAGAAGGTAGTTTCACGGCCCTAAAAGTCCTGTGTGCTCTGCTTCCCTCCTCCCGACCCTTCACAACTACTGATCTCTTTACTGTCTCCATAGTCTTTTACCTTTTCCAGAATGTCATACAGTTGGAATCACATGGTCTGTAGCCTTTTCAGACTGGCTTCTTTCACTTAGTGATAAGCTTTTAAGATTCCTCTGTATCTTTCCTTGGCTTGAAAGCTCATTTCTTTTCAGCCCTCAATAATATTCCATTGTCTGGATAAACCTCGGTTTGTTTAACCATTCACCTACGGAAGGACGTCTTGATTTCCTCCAAGTTTTGGCAATTATGAATAATGAATAAAGCTGCTATAAGCATCTGTGTGCAGGTTTTTGTGTAGATATAACTTTTCAGCTCAAACAGGTAAATACCAAGGAGTACAACTGCTGGATTGTATGGTAAGCCTTAGTTAATAATTCCCCCACACACATAGGTGGCTGGCCTGAAACTCTCAATACTGGCAAAGCTCCTTTAAATAGTAGGTATTTTTTAATCTGGATGTGGTGATATTAACTAGCTGATACAGCAGCAGAAAGGAGTGTTTGTGATTAACCCTCATTTACCCCGAAGAAGCAGGGCCTGGAGGGGATAGGCTACCAAGGAGAAGGTGGTGCGAAGTCGGCCCAAGACTTCAGGTGATGGGCTCCACAGGGAAGTCCTTGCCAGCCAGTCCCTTTATGACCCCAGATGAGAGAACCAAAAGCCCTCCTACTGCTACAACGCTGCTTCTAAAGGCAAAAACTAGTCTAGCAGCACCAGCCCTGAAGACATAAGATACAAGCATGAGGAGGAGATAATGGGCATCTTCCTCTTCCCATCTTTGTATATAAGAAGAATGCACAATTAGGATTTAAGGCATATGGCAGGGGCCTCATCTCCAAACCCTCTTTTGCCTCTTTACTGCCAAAAATAAAACATAAAGCCCAATCAATCAAATGCGCTATGGGAAAGCTTGTGTGAAGGCCATCCTCCAAAGCCAGATGTTGCTAAGACCAAAGCGGCCCAATTTTTTGCTAAATAATTGGAGAAGCTCAAGGGAGTAAGCATTTCAATAACAATGACAACTCCTGCAAAAAGAGCTACGGAGGAAATATATATATATTTTTTAAGGAGGACTGAATGTCTCACTTCCATCCGGCTGGTTAATTAGGTCTACTGCAGGGCCCAGATTGCCAGGCAAGCTGATGTTTGAGAAGCTCTTTCTACTCTTCACTTTCCATGACCAAGGTTGATCCTCTTCCACCCCCCAGCTCTCTTCTTGACGTGCTGCCCAGGGTGTCTCGGCCCCATACTAACTTCAACATCCATCCCTACAGCGGGGCAAGTGAAGGAATGTATGACCTGAGTTAATTTTTTAAAAAATGCATTTTGATTTATTTGACAAAAGATGGGCACAGACCAAATGTCCATTAACAGGTGAATGGAGACACAAAATATTCCACTTGATGGAGTACTTTTCAGCCATCGAAAGGAATGGAGCACTGGCTATATACTATAATATAGGTGAGCCTCAAAAACATTAATTACACCAAGTAGAAGAAGCCAGACACAAAAGGTCATATAGAATATGATTCCAATTAAAGAAGATGTGGTATATATAGAGGTAATGGAACATTACTCAGGCATCAAAAAAGTGAGATCTTACTATTTGCAATGACGTAGATGGAACCAGAGGGTATAATGCTAAGCGAAATAAGTCAATTAGAGAAAGACAATTATCATAAGATTTCACTCATAGGTGGAATTTAGAAACAAAACATAGGAGCATAGGGGAAGGGAAGGAAAAATAAAACAAGATGAAATCAGAGAGGGAGACAAACCATAAGAGACTAAACTATAGGAAATAAACTGAGGGTCGTGGGAGGGGAAGAGAGTTGGGGGATGGGGCAACTTGGTCGGGCATTAAGGAGCTTTGGGTGTTACATGCAAATGATGAATCACTGAATTCTACCTCTGAAACTAATAACATACT